CTGAGGATCCCCCGCTGTGATGTCGTCTCCGTCGTAGAGTAGCTCCCGATGCTCGTCGATGGCCGCGGCTTCACCGTCGAGAGGGTCGTCCTCGTCCTCATCGTCGTCCTCCTTATCGTCGTCCTCGTCGTCGTCCTCATCGTCGCCCTCGTCGTCGTCCTCATCGTCTGCTTCGTCGGGCTCAGCCGTGGTGCCAGGGGCGGGTGGCGGCGCAGGCGCAGTCGCGGGCGCGAGCGACGGCGAGCGGTGGCTCGGGTCGACGGGCTGAGCCTCGAGGTCGTGGCGCTCGACGACGTCGCCGAGGAGCTCGACGAGCCGGTCGCGGTCGACGACGCCCTCGTGCATCCAGAGGCGCCCGCCCGTGCGCGGGTCGACGACGGCGAGGTGCGGGTGCTTGGGGTGGGCGCAGATCTGGTGCGGCGGCGGCGGCGGCGGCGCGTCGCCGTCCGGCGCCGCCGCGCCGGGCACCTCGAGGACCTGGGGGATCGCGCGGTCCTTGTCGTAGCGGTCCGCGTACGTGACGGCCGCGGGGTCCGTGTGGGGCCGGAGCCAGAGGATGAAGGACGCCTCGACGACGGCCTGCACCATCTCGTCGGCCCAGACGTCGCGGTTCATCTGGTGGCAGCCGAAGACCTGCTCGTTCGTGATGACGACGAGGAGCCACTTGCCCTCGGTCTTGCCCTGGGCCCGCGCGGCCTGGAAGTCGCCGGGGTGCATGAGGCGCGTCGGCGGGCTGAACATGGTCTCCAGGGACGACGGCGCGGCCGCGGCGCCGCCGTCGTCGTCGTCGAACGCGCCTGCCGCCGGCGGCGGCTGCGTCGCATCGTCGTCTGGCGCGCGCACCTCGTCCTCCTCGGCCGCGCGCGCGCGGTCCTGGGCCGCGAGCGCCGCGGCCATCTCCGCGTCGTGGCTCGTCGCCGCGTCGACGTTGTCGGCCATCACCTCGAAGCCGCCGCCGTCGGCGCCAGACCCGTCGCCGCCGCCGCCGTCGAAAAAGTTTGCCACGGCGAGCTCGACATTTCCGCCGGCGGCCTCGACGTAGAACTGGC